TTGAACTCTCGGCTTCCGTCTGTCAAATGTGATCTCCTGTGTTGCATACTGCAGGCCCGGGTAGTTTGCAGAAGCACTGTACGATAGGTGATTCACCGTGAGAACTTCCTCTTCGTAAGTATCATCTTCAGAGAAGGCCTCGAATTGCAAGTCGTTGAGGTACGTCCCGGGTTTGGTGCAGAAACGCAATCTGAGATTCTCCTGTTCATTGGGCATCATTTCGATAACATCCGGTCCCACAAGTGACAACGAAATATCCTAGTAATTACAGTATGCAAACGAAAATAGCTTTAATTACTTAGTCGATCTACGTCGAACCACATTTAGCCCTCAACACATCTGGGCTTACTAATTCAAAGGTGCCCATCCTGGTGTTGAAAACCCTTCGATTTTACTGCAAGCGCTGGTTCAAATTAACAGTCCAGTTAATCGAAACTCACGTCGTTTGTAAGTGGATGTCCAAGATAAACGTCGGATGATTTTGAAAGTGCAATGACAGTCGTCACGATGTGGTTTCCCAGGGTCCCCTTCACAGTCATGTTTGCAGCTGAGAGATTTGATGGAAGTTGGACACGCAAGTAACAGGCCACGGTGACCTACATTTATGAAAGAGTTACCTTAGAACTTACATCGCGTAAAACTCCGTCGGATAATCTCGTGCAGTTTGAAGAGCCAAAGTCATTATTAATGTCCGTGGGTTTAATTGGGCCATTGCTCATAGATTACAACAGAGTGCTCCAAATGGATAAAATTATGTCAGCGGCTACCCAGCGTGTATTAGAATAATTTTCCTCAATGAAATATTCGCGAAATGGAACTAAACGACATACTTGTAAAACAGCAAGATCATTTCCAAGTGCAGAAGCAAACTAACCTTCGAATCGTCATTCCCCTTGGCAAGAAGGCTCCCCATATTGAAGGTATACATTTTGTTCGGTTTTGGTGGTCTACAAAGTCAGAAACCACAGCTGGATTTACGCGTTTAAAGGTCTATCCTAGTAGGAATCTGTAACAACTTGGTGTTAGACTACTTGTAAATATCGCGGTGATTTGTGTTCTTTGAAACAGAACGTGTCTTGATGCTTTGTGTAAGAGAAATGAACGTATGTTTGTGATGCTTTGAGGACAAAATCGGCAAGAATGCTACTGAGCCAACAGCCTTCTTGCCTCCTTTTAAGCATTTACCAATAGAGCTTACCTCATTTCCATCTCATCATTAAGACAAAGTGTAAAATGGCACCTGA